GAGAGAGAGAGTTGTGACTATGAGACTTGACGACATTGGATCCAGGCTCGACATTGGGATTCAGACATTGGACGAGGGACTATTTGGGCCTGTGCAGAAGACTTGGTGTTGACGACATTCCCATCTTCCCCTCTTCTTTGTCTAACCCCCCTCTTCTTCGTCTGTGTATGGATGGGGACTGGCGCATTCTTCCCGTGTGAGCGCCAGACCCCTTCACACCATGGAGTGATGATGATGTATGTTCAGGGCTGCATTGATTGTTCGAATCATTGGTATCTAAGTCTTCCGCTACGCTATCTTGTACTTTGTGAGAGAGGTCGGTTCTTGTTCTGGTCTATGCAACACCGAGACACACAACTGATTTATGAGTTTTGCCAATGGAATGTATGCCTTGCTGAGTTTCCCGCGTGTTGCTGAGTTTTCTAAGTCTGAGTGTATGCGTGCTTGCTGGTCTGCATGCCTGCCTGAGTGCTTGTCGAAGTTGTTGGTTTGAGTGTGTGTGTGTGACACATGGCCGTGACATTGAGGGTTGCAGCGGGGAAAACACTCAAGTGGTGGGGAAAAAGGCCCAGGACACTTGGAGCAGTGGACAAATACGCAAGTAGCAGGTAGGCTGGTAGGCTGGTACCACACCAGGTAGAGGTACATGTGGTGGGTAGTCGACGTCGAGCAGAAGAACACGAAGTTGGCATTTTTAGAGGCCCAGTAGTTTTAGGCTAGGTCTAGGCCAGTACCAGTCCAACCAGTCTGAGTCTAGGGCCTGTACGGGCAATATCAGAGTCTGCAATGATGTTTCCCTCCGAATGGGAGGAGGTACCGGTTGGTTGGAGGCCGCACGGCCTAGGAAGTCACTCGCCAAGAGGCAAGCAGGCTGCTATATCTCTAGGAGGAGCGAAGTGGTCCTTCCAATTGTCAGTGTGCAAGTTTGGCAACACTGGTTGGAGCGCTGGCTGGAGCAGCGCTAGCATCAGAGCAGCACTGCTGGGGAAGGAGCAAGGACAGGAGGAGAAAGAAGACCAGGACTAGGAGGGAGGGACGCCAGAGGTACTTACCTGGCGATGGTGGTTGCCATCTTCATCACCTTGGTGGGCACTGCAGCAAGAAGGCCCCAGTGGGGTAGAGCTACACCAAGAAGCTTCGAGGCAGAGTCAGGCATGGCGGCCTGAATAGGAGCAGCCATAGCTGCTTTGAGTTGTCCTTTGCACAGCAGGGCAACGCCCGGGTAGTCCGCCATAGCCTCGGACTTGGAAGGAGGAAGAAGGGTGACCATGGCTATGAAGGACCTCATGTGATACCTGGAGTAGAAGAGGGACTCGGACATTGATTCTGGTTCAGCCATTCAACATTATTATTTTTTCTTTGAATAAGAGGGGAGGGGATAAGGAGGAGGAGAGTGATTGGCGAAGAACAAGGAAATTATCATTGGTCTTTGCTGGTGTACATCATCTTCTTCTTCTTTCTCTCTTCTTCTTCTTCTTCTTCTTCTTCTTCTTCTTCTTCTTCTTCTTCTTCTTCTTCTTCTTTCCCTCGCTCTCCTCTCAAGTTCATTCATTTCTTTTTGCAAGTGGACGGCATTGTACTTTCTCATGAATGCGAACTTTGAAATTGGCCAGGATCATAGCGATAGTTTCTTTTACTTGTCCTTACAACAGGATTAAAAAAAATAAAATAAAAAAAATCACAAACATGCATGCACACACGCACGCACCCGCCCGCCCGCCTGCCCACCCACCCACCCACCCACACGCACGCACGCACACGCGCGCCCACCCACCCACCCACC